GTCTTAATAAACTCCTGCTTTCTCACCATCCCCCACCCCCATCCCCCACCCCACCCAAGACAAAATCCTTTTAATGAATGATACAAGAAATGGCAGGTGGCTACTTGGAGAAAAAAATGTCAAATAAACTTATTGTTCTGGCTTCCAAGTGAACCTCCAAGGAAGATATTTTGATTTAACAGATCCAAGACCAAAAAACACCACATCTAATGATTCCCATATTCACAAAGATTCTATCAGGCTATAGTCAAGCAGTTAGCCTAAGATATAGAATGTATCAGACTTTGAAAATACAGAGAACATTCTCAGAAGTTCTAGAATTGAGTCTCAGCTCCTCCATGGATGAAATACTTAGCCACTTAGCCACTTAGTTTATTGCTCTCAAAAAACACCCCCATGGGTGTTTTGAAATGCTACAAAGCCTTTACAGCAGGTATCAGTTTGATAACTACTCCCTTGCAGACTTTTCAGCTACCTACAATGGTTTTGGCTTCAAATTTTGAAGGATGTTTCTAGCCATTTTTAGGTTAAAATATATAGCAAACATAAGTTCCCATATCTGTTTTCTTGGCTGGATTAGAATTCAAAAATTCAGAGCTGGAAACTATTGATCATCAGGTTCAGTCTTCTCAGTGTCCAGCTGAGGACACTTCAGACTGAAGTTTACTGATTTATAATCTGGTGTGTGGTTGACAGTTGGGGTTTCAAAGTCAGATGAAAGTGGGTTTGAATTCCATCTCTGCCACTTCTCAGTTGCATGACTTTGAGCAAATTACATCAGCTCTCTACAAATTTCATTTGTGAAGTAGGGACAGATATAACACTGTCTTATAAGATCATTGAGATAATTCATAGAAAGTGATTGGCACTGCTCCTAGCATATAGTAAACACTCAATCAAATTCTAACCCTTATTAGTGCCAATAGGCACTATCTATCACATCGAAGCAAAGCACAACCTGACCTCCTGGCTCTGACTCCCACTACCCTGCCTCCCAGAGATACTAAATTGTAATTAGAGTTAAAAGACTGCAAGAAGATATTGCAAATGGTCAAGTTGGGAAAAACAGTATAGATTTTACAGCAGCTCTAAGAAAACGTTTCTGGTTTATTGCCATTAGTGCTACATTTGGGGTGAAGGAAATCAAAATTGTTTTTTTAAACATCCAGTTGATCTAGATAATTAATTAAAGTTGATCTGAATATCCAAAGAAATCTGGCTGTTATTATCCACTAGACATTCGTAAATCTGTTATTATTCTGCAACTATAAAGTAAAACTCAACCTAGCCTGTTTTTCAAATAAAACTGATGAAATGGAAGAAGTCAAATGACTTTATGTCTTCATAGTCAGTGTTCTGAGCTCTAAGAACAGTCTATAAATTATGAAAGTGAATTGGGCTGAGCCTAAATTTATCTCTGAAGGTGAAACGGCTAAAGCTGGCTTGAATATTCAAACTGTTTTGAATGTTATAAACTCTGGGCACATAAAATATCTATGCCAGGCTCAGGGCATTTCACAGTATAAAACTTCAATAAACAACAAATTAAAAGTCACAGAATAGAATGACCATCCCTGTCATTAGAGTTCTGGTAGTACAACTTATACATATTTCTTTAAATAAATGTTTAAAATGTAATTACAAACGATTGCTCAAATGTTCTCCCTTATTGTTCTACTTCTGCCTCCAGACAACTAAAATCCTATTATTGTACAAGTGATTTCATTTGGTGTGTGACCTAGGGACAGTACATTAAGGAAATATCATCAACAAATTAATTTACAAACACTTTGAGAAAACAGACCACAGTAAATGCATCCATTCTTTGTCTAAGACTGAAAAGCCAGAGACATAGCGAAGAAGTGATTAGTTAATTTTAGTAGGGTTTTTATTTTCTCTCCCACAATGTTTTAATCATCACATTGAAAAAACACAGTTGAATCCATCCTGTTATATGTGTGCATCCTAGCCACAGACAGAGGGGTGAAGGTTGATCAATGGGCAGAAAGAAGGTGGGTTCTGTCTCAGATCAACAACTGGCTAGGGTTGTAGACAAATCATGGGCCTTGGATTCACCATCTCTGATTGGTTCTTCTTTGTATGATATTAACCTGGCATGAGTCGTAAACAGTACAAGTGCTGCCTACCTATCCAAATAGTGCTTTCCTGGTAGCAAAACTACTGGACATTCCTCCCTAAGGGTCATAACTACTTTTGTTTAGAAAGAGTTATCCCGTTGGTCACTGCTAGCCACATTCTGAAGTCTTGCTGTGCAGCTTAAAATATTTTAGCATTGCCTTCTGGTTCTCCCCAACAGCACTAGTTCAAATACAAGCTCCACAGTTTATTTGCCGACTGATTTTGGGCAAGATATTTAACCTCAAAGAGCCTAAGTTTCTTCATCTATTAAATGGGAGAACAATGTCAAACCCATTGGGCTGTATGTGAATTAGAAGAGTTTATGTTCAAAAAGCACTTAATCTGTTTCTGCCATCAGTGCTCGGATTTTTTGCCCCATAAATGTTACGTATTATTATTATTGCAGTGACTTTGCTTTGTATTATTCTTCTTATTCTTTTGGAATCATAAATACATATACCACTCAACAGCATTACGTTACTCGTAGGACGTTTCTTATTTTAGTGTTAAGCACAGGTTGCATGAAATATTCATGAGTGTGTGTATTCAAGTAGGTGGATGGGTGCAAAGTTCAAAACTGTAATGCTGCGCCTTCTGGATACCTTTAGCTCTGTCGATGTTTAACAATATTCCATCAGCCATCTTCCTTCTCTCCCATAAGCCCCTGCTTAGCACTTCTCAGATAATATGCTTCATGGTAGCAGAACTCAGTGCCAGTTTTTAGCTTTGAATCAATGGAGCAATCTGTTTCTTCAGATTTATCATCCACCCCAAGCACAATATTGACTTCCCTGACAGTTTAGAATAACCAAGTTGCAGCTCCTGGAAGACTTTCTTAGGAATTTCCAGGGATATTGAGAGCCAATGAATTTGAAGCATTTCTCAAGATGCCAGCAGCAGAATTCTCTAGATTCTATCCATGGTCCTTGGGATAACCCCAGGCACAGGCATGGAATTTTTTTCCTTTTTTTTTTTTTTTTAGGAACAAGTTCTTACTCTGTTAGCCAGGCTGGAGATCAGTGGCACAATCATAGTTCACTGCAGCCTCGAACTCCCAGACCCAAGTCATCTTCCCCCCATCTCAACTTCCTGAGTAGCTGGGACTGCCCATTATGCCCAGCTTTTTTTTTTTTTTTAAGATATGGGGTCTTGCTATGTTGACCAGTCTGATCTCAAACTCCTGGCCTCAAGCAATCCCTCTGCCTTGGCCTTCAAAAATGATGAGTGTACAGGTGTGACAGGTGCTGTGAGTACAGGTGTGACCTTCCAAAATGATGAGAGTACAGGTGTGTTTGGAAGGCATAGAATACTGAAAAACAAAAACAAAAACAAAACCACCAGTTCCATAAGCCTATCTTGTTTTTCTGGTGATGGTCTCTGAACCTAAAAGGTTAAGTAGTATGTGACCAGCCACATTATCATGAAGTTACCTTACATTCTGCACCAAAGTCAACTTCTGCCATGGTCTAACCCTGCTAATGAAAGAGACCGATGATAATCTTGGGTAAACTCAGTGATTAACCACTCCCAGAGGTACATTCCTTGTTTTGAGGAATAATGTTCCCTTTCACCTTGGAAAGTGGAAATGAATTAGAAAAAAAATTGGCCATGCAACCACTTTGTTGTATATGAGTTCCAAGAATTATCTTATCAATAATAACTAGAGGGAGGCTATAACTGCCTTAGATTCCCAGGACTGGTGCTCAGAGAGGAGGGTTCTCATTCCTAACTTATGGACGACAGTGACCTTTTGAAAAGTACCTGATCTATAGGTTTATAACACCACCACCACCATCCCTTGCTTAGATATAACTAACAAAATCATCTAACCAGGCCAGCACTGCTTCTGGTATGACAAAAGGTGTGTAGAAAAACATAAATATGGAACTAATCATTAATTTTACTCACTAATTTGCTCTGGAGTTGGGGGACTCTCTGCACTCACTCATATGATGCCTGATTTGTGTCTCCACCTATTATTGCTCTAGTAGTGAAATAATATTCATTCACAGGGTAACTTTCTTCCAAGAGCTGTAAGCGCTTTATTAAATTGCATCGTGTTAGAGCTCAAGCAATCCACTTAAGCTCATAAATAGTCTTATCTTCCATGTTAGATATGGAGAAAGTCAGTCATGAAGTGATAAACCAAACAGCACATGGAGACAGAATTGAGACTCTAGGCTCTTGAGTCAGGATTTTCTCTACAATATATGTAACTTTTCTTGACGTTCCTAAGCCATGTTTCCTTTTGGCAAGCACTTAAAGAATAATACATACTCTGATACACACCTGCAGGGGATATTTTCCAGCCTCAAATTTGTTCCTCTTTTCCTTCTGAGCACCATTGATATTGAGAAGACTCTTGTATTTCTACGCAGAAGACTTTTTGTTGCACTTTAATTTCTAGAATTTTTTTGTTTTCTAAATATGACTATAGTGCAATACTGAACACAGCACTAGTAAACTCATAGTGCTTTTAATTAATATCCTTCCGCTCACCCACCCCCCACTGAGAATTATTGCAGTAAACTACAGAGCTCTGTTTTCAGCCTATTTATATACATATAGTTAGGAAAAAGAAAAACATCAAAAGCAATTGTGTTCGATTGAAAAGGAGAAACATTAATGTATTAATACTATTTAGATAGACATTTTTTAAGAGCAAGGGGAGAAGAGAATTGGCGAGAACTGGCTCTTCCAAAATCCAAAGATATCCTTTTTCCTCAGTTTCAGAGCTGAATGGTTTTGGTCAATTGACTCTTACCTCTGTTTTGGAGATAGTACTTTATTTTGACTTTTTCTAGGTTTCTGAAGTCTATTGCTTTGACAAACAGAGCAATCTGAAAACTGATTATTCCTTGACTTTAGAGCCATTGTTGGTGTGTCAGTGTTTTGACCCCTGAAGGCAGTTGGCATGAGTCATCAGTAGAGAGCCCAGATGTGGAGGAAAGGGCTTCATCCTCTTGATACAAGTTTTTTTTAAAAAAAAAAAAAAACAAAAACATTTCTCTGTGTTTGAAGGTATTTTCTAAATTCCATGAAGGTTAAATGGCATAAAATTGAATGTAGAATTCTCACACTCACCTAAAAACTTCCAAATAGAATATATGAGGAAAGAAGCCTGAAATTACAACTTAGTTTCAGTTTTAGCCTTCTTGATATCAGCTTTATCCAAGCCTTACATTCTAAGTATATGCCCTCTTTATAACCCAGGATATGTAAAAATACAGCTGGTGTTCAAGTTGATGAGGTTGATTAGATCCTTAAATACAAATTGGTGGAATTGTTTTTCACACTCTATATATTCACCAATCCCTCTAGGATTAGCTGTTTATATTATAATGATGCCATTTGACTTATTTTTATTTATTTAAAACTAAATACCATGATAATGTTTTCTGATGAATGACTTTTTAAACAGATCTGTCCATCAGTATTGTACTATATATTCTACATATTACACAGTCATGATAGAATCAGTGTGAACATTTAAGAATCTCTTTCAGCCGGGCATGGTGGCTCAAGCCTGTAATCCCAACACTTTGGGAGGCCGAGGTGAGGGGATTGCCTGAGCCCACGGGTTCGAGAACAGCCCGGGCAACTTGGAGAGATTTCATTTCTACAATAAATCAAAAAATTAGCTGGGCATTGTAGCGCACATCTGTAGTTCCGGTTACTTGGAAGGCTGAGACAGAAGGATTGCCTGAGCCCAGTGGGTCGATGCTGGGGTGGCCGTGAGCGTGCTACTGCACTCCAGCCTGGGCGATGGAGTGAGACTCCAACTCAAAAAAAAAAAGAACCTCTTTCATTTGGTCTTTTTGATTTTGGCAGGGTCTCAATGAAAGCACAGACTAGTTCACATAAATTGCTGAATGATTTTCGACTTTTATGCACATTACATAAGAGACAGGATATGTACACAATCATATGATTAATCCATATACACGAACCAATAATTGTGACTGCTTTACTCAAACTTTCCTCAGATGGATAGCATGAATAGAACTCTGTACACATCTCAAGGCAGATGACAGAACTGTATTGGTCCCCTTGAATTTGTTTCTCACCATAAAATATAGTCATCATGATGGATGAAAGAAGGGCAGCAGTGCAAAAAGCTAGCAAACCAGCACTTTTGATGGTTCAAGTGCTCCTCTTGAATGCTTAAAATTTACTAGACTACAAATATTTCAACAAGTGACTACAGAGACCAAAAGTTTCAGAGTCTGATGGTATTCACAAATCTGTACCACTAGACCAGAATAAATTTTCAAATGGACTTATAAATAAAAATCTTCAAGTATTTATTTTACAAGGAGAGGAGAGGAATGGGACAAAATGAAGCATCGTATATTTACATGAATTTGACTGTAATTTGCTAGGCTGATTACTTATAGGAATTTCACATGGATATCTTGGGACATAAGAAAGCTACACAATGCTAGAGGGCTGAACTCATTTAAAGACTACATTCAGTCTTGAAATTTGAATTTAAAATGTCTAACCCTAAGATGTTTCTATCATCATGACCTTAATAAAAATAGATTTAAAACATCACCACAATCGTTTTGCAACTTGGAGAGCTCTCTTCATTTCCTTCATTTAGACATGCACCTGTGTGCTCAGAAGGCTTCCGCTTAGCATGTTCCCGGAACCAGGCTACCCAATTTGGCCCACCTATTCACATGGGTCCTCGAGAGGAAAATCTGCCAGCCCACAAATGTCCTTTTTACAGAAAACCTCTATGGACTTCTACCCAGCAACTATCTATATGAACAACCCCTTCTATTGATCTTGTATGTTATGGTAATGCTACATTAGCATTTATTTCTCTGGATACATATTTAAACAGAAATTTCTTTCAAGCTAGTCATTACCTGGTAATGCTGAATCAATCTGAAGAGTGTATTTCTTGAACAGCTTCAGAAAATCTGGTGAGAGTTCCCCTTTGCACAGTGAGCATTTCTCACAGCCTCAGGCTCATGAATGGTTACCTGAGATCTTGAAACAAGAAGACAGGCACAAATGACATCGGATGAGTCAGGACAGCACTGACATGGACTGGTTCTCAAGTCAGGAGAAAGCATGCAATTGGAAGATACTATCTAGGATGCTTGAGGTGGGGTTGATCTGGACTAGATAAAGATAGATCAGATAGATAGACAGATAAGCCTTCAGGCACACACAATCACTTCAGTGTTCTCCAGATTTAAGTTTAAACATGAGGAGAATCTTAACTATCCTGAGAAATTAAGAAATAACTGAATAACTGATCTTACCAGTTCTTTGCTGGGGAGATGATTTTTGTAAGAGTATCAGTAGGTCGGTTTTTAAAAAATCAGAGTCAGATATTTTTAATATTTTAAGTGCCAGATTTTGTATAATTTCAGAAAGTATTCCCTCTAAAGTAACACACCAGCAGTTAACTCAAAAACAGACTAACTCGGTCTTTCTCTGGAATACACATTCTTTCTCACAAGATTTGAAATAACCAACTGCCACTTTTTCTCTGAAGACAGTTTTTCTTTAAAGGGCCACGTTTAACTGCACCTTTTCTACATGAATGTATGCTTGCAGATCTCATCATCTTCTATATTTAGAGAGATGAGCTTTCCGAAGGAAGATAGGCAGCCAATAAGGAGGATCTCATCAAAAGAGAGGTGAGTTACTATGGTTACTTTTCAGGAGGTTTGGTAACAGTGAACGGCTGCTCCTGGCCAAATGGACCCTTTCCAGAGGAGGACCTAAAAAGAATGCTGCCCTCCATACGTGTTGATTCAGTTAGTCGAGACCACTTTGTCATTTTCTTCTTAACCACAGGCTTTCCACGGGCGCTTGCTGCCTCCAGCTCTCCCAGCCTCACATAGGCAGCGAAGTCAAAGGAAAAACAAGGAGGGTCGAAAACTTCCAAACATTAACCTAACAGCGATGAGCAGGGGAATCCTAGCCCAAGAATCCATCCCGAGATTTAAAAAATTGTATACAGAAATCAAACCAGGTTGTTTGGGACCAGCAGCTGGTCACTTTTCAATGGCTGGGGGCTGGGTGGGATTCCGGAGCACGTCCCTATCCACCCCCTCAATGAAGCGAGGCCTTTCGGAGCCCCAGAGAAGGGCACCTGGCTGGATGGGTCCAGACATACCTTGCAACCTGGGTCCACTCACCCGATGGGGCGCGTGCACCTGTTTGGTAAAGGCGCGGGGATCGGCGCTCACTCCTGCAGTCGCGGCGCTGTCACTCTCCACTCGGGCGCTGACAGCGGCGGCGGCGGCAACTGCAGCTGGGCTGGCAGCCTGGCTCCTGCAGGTCGGTGCTCCGATCTCTGAAGCGCGTCGCGCTCGGGGCTGGGAACGCTAGGCGGGCGCGCAGCTGCTCTCGGCTCGCATTGGACCAGAGGAAGCAGATGTTATCCGGTTGCTAGGAGCGTTGCTAGGAAGCGATGACGCCCCTCCGCAGCTCGCGAGCAACTTTCCTGCGGGTCGGGTGCGCCGGCGGGGGCTGCAGGGAGCACGATTGAGCGCAGCAACGCGGAGGGGCGCGGACAAAGAGCCCCCGACAGAAGAGTCTCGGCTGCGCGCGCCTGAGTTGGATCCCGGAGAGTGGGCTGGGAAGCTGCGGAAGGGTGCCAGGCGCCGACCCGGCGGGAGATGGGCGGGGTCCCGGGGCGGGGTCCCGGGGCGGGATCCCTCGCTGAAGGCCCTAGCTGGGTGTTCCGTACGGAGACCGAGTTTGGGGACAGGGGTGGGGGCGACACTTTCAGTGACCAAGGAAGCAGCGGGATTTGGTGAGTGTTTTTTCAGACCCCCGACACTTTCACTGGGATTCTCTTCGCCTTGGAGTAGGTCCCTGAGAAGGGGAGAGCCGGAGGGTGTGTGTGTGTCCCTGAGAAAGGGAGAGACCGAGGCGCGCGCGC